TATTATACAAGCAGGTCTCCTATTTTGTACAATTATGAAATTAATGGCATACCGTTATCTAGGTTAGACTCATGTGTTGACCTGGGGGTTGCATTCGATCGATCCTTAACTTTTCACCCACACATTGAGGGGATCGTTACCAGTTCGAAACGGGTGCTTAGTTTTATAATCAGGACTTGCAGAAACTTCAAGAGTAAAAAAGTCTCATGTTTATTATTTAAAAGTCTCGTACGATCAAAATTGGAATATGGTTGCGTAGTATGGTCACCGCTGTACGCGAAATACATTCAGAATCTCGAGATGATCCAGAAACGTTTTCTAAAATTCCTATGCTGGCGAGAGGATGGGGTCTACCCGGAGCGAGGGTGTAATTATCGCCGCCTATGTGAGCGTTTTAACTTCTTAAGTCTTGAACAATAGACGGCGAAGATGCTGATTATATTCTTAATAAAAATTCTTCGAAACAACATTGACTGTCCTGAATTGCTGGGTTGCGTGAATTTGAAATTTCCGCCTCCATTCCCTCGCTCTAAATCAATAATTTATCTCCCCAAGCCAAAGAATGACCTAGCTGTATCCTCTCCAATGCATCAGGCAGGTATTGCTCTGAATTTGTTATTGAGTTTGTACCCCGATGTTGATATTTTCAATAATTCTATGGACTCTCTAGTAAATAAGGCATATGTCACGGTAAAAACCTATTATTGATGTTAATTTTATAATGATCATCTCCACATTGCTATAATTAGTATCTTCATATTCTCCGTTCCTGCTGAACACCTGTAGATACCATTTATTATGTTACATCTTATATATATTACCTAATGTGAATATTTAATCGCAATGCGTTTGATATTTCCATTCAATTTATAAGTCCTGTAATTGGTCTCGGCTGTCTTGACTTGAATAAACAAAATAAAATGAATAAAATAAAAATATTGCGGATGTTTTTCATAGTTTTTTGAAGAATGTAACAAAAATATTGTGAAATAGTTGGAGAAATTGTGACACTTGGAACACCTACCACTGGGAGGCTCTTATAAAGTTATCAATTTTTATGATTACAATCATTCAAACATTCAGAATTTTGACATCAAAGATTGTTTACATCCAAATGTCCATCACAACATAAAGACATCTGACAAGACAATCTGCTGTGCTTTAGCGAATACGTATGGATTAAAACAGTGGTTCGAAAGCAAGCATGATTTTCGAAAATGATTCTAATGAAATTTTTGAGTGAACACTAATGTTCGACAAATTATGTGAAATATTTTTTATTGACCGTATCATCATTCATCATGTATTGTCTTTTGTTCTCAATTTTTTTACTGCATCCTCATTTATCCTGTATCATCATTTTCTGAATTTTTCCCAAAAAAATATATTGAGTTTGAGAGCGCATTTTTTCCGCCAATAAATAAAATGAATGGCTTGTCATTTATTCATTTCTCCTTTTTTAAAAAAAAGAACAATTGCAGATGATCATCTCCTTTAAATTACATTGAGTTATTGTGGTTTCTTTAAATGGTGGAATATACAGTCTGCTTTATTCCACATTGAGAAAATTCCCCCAGTTACATATATTTATACTGTCAACTTCGTTCGTTCATTCCGCATCGACTTCACACCAACATCACAGCTAGCTGCGAGATCGTTGCCTGTGCTCTCAGCTGACAGATGGTCACGTGCATTTATGTAAACATTCAACAGAATCATTGGAATTATACATGGTTGGACATAGGACTATCATATAAAGGATCAAATTAAATTCTTTTTTTTTAATTCTTATTACGCAAAATGAGTAAGTATTTGCCTATACGAAATTCGAATACATTGCAATTTTTCTTCTAACTCTTCAACAATGAATCGCGCGCACTTTGGAGGATGTGCACTCTTTTTTAGGCAAAACGCGGGTGTCCGCCGATAAATATATCCGCTAGGTCACGGTCAACTCTTTGATATGAGATTTCAATTTCTATGATAATCTATTGGATACTTTCCTTAAAATTATTCTTCTCACGAGTTTTAAACAATTGTCTGAAACAAATTCTCGTTCTCAACATAAGACATTCAGTGGGATTCGATTCGACACTCCAACGGCCCGCCACCAAGCACTATGAAGGTCGTTCGTTCGATCATGATTGTTTATGGAAGACGTACGTGTCCGCTGATAATTACAGGCGTACAACGCCCTCCAACTCACCAGGGATTATTCATATTTTGCCCCCCCCCC